CAACGCGGCGCGGAATTCAGCTGCGCGCGTGCAGCCGAGTCCCCCGGGGCCGCGACGGAAACGGGGGGTTACAGCGTGGAAGTGAGCTCCCGTCCTCTCCGCCTCTGCCGCACGCCTGCGCCCCAGCCCAGCACTCTCGCCGGCGCGGGCGGGCGGGACCCCATTTCCAGGTTCCTTCCGGAGGCCCCGCAGCCTCCGCTCTCACCACCCGGCGCCGGGGATTCCCGGGGAGGTGAGTCCCGCCCGGAGAGCCCACGCCGTGCAGTGCCTCCGCGGGGAACCTCGCCGGGACGCGCGGCCCAACTTGGGAAGGCTTTGGTGCGGCGCCTTTGGCTGGAGAAGACCGTTCTTGTGATGGTGGCTCTTACTGATTTATTAAGGAGCTAAGGAATGGGTTTATTCGCGTTTAGAGGGCCACCTTGAGCCATTACGCCACAACTCGAGCTGCTTTCTGTTGCAAACCCTAGTCGCGCTCAATATTAGGCCAAATTTGTTTTTCCTTCTGGGAAGCCTTGGATGTGTGTCCGAGAGCGTGAGCACACACGCACACCCACGCTCGCTCGCTCGCTCGGAGCCGGGCGACAGGGGCAGCGCCTGGGCACCAGCACGTGTGACTGACTATCCAGTTGTCCTCTCTCACCCCAGGATCCTCTTGGCAGGAAGGATTAGCTAACAGCTCGCTTCGGCTTACTCAGAGCTGCCATTGACTGAAGGGCCGACCCCAATGAATGATTAATGATGAGCGCGCTGCGTTTCAGGAAACCTGAGAACCGAGAATTTCAGTGCATGCAATGCCCCTACTGCCATTTATCTGAGAAATATACCTGACTTGCATTCTTGGAATATTTCTGTCTGAAAACACATTTGCAGCTTTGAACTGCGCTCTGATACATTATGCATTGGCCATGTTAATGAAAAGGCTGTGATTTTAACCGATAAGGTCAGTTCACAAAAGCCAAGGTTGCCGCTAAGATGTGGCATTATCCGTTATTGAGTACCCACTTAAGGATTCCCATTTCCATAATGAAAAGCATATAAAAAGCATGTAGACTTTTTCAGGACTGGAAATCGTCCACGGCTAGAATACATAATATCGAGGCAGCTGTAAAAGGAAGTCACCTTGACAACTTAGTAAAGCCACCAGGAAGAAAAAAGAGCACACCACACATAGATGTGCATAGCTGGGCGCAATGCCCCTGACACACTAGATAAGATGCTGTCCTGGGCTAAACACCCCTTCTCTCCCCACTGTCGGAGGCTGGAGCTCTGTGCTAACTACTTAACTAGGAAGTAGGCAAAGCAATCCTGGAGCTTGAAAACAGACACCTGGTCGCCCAGAATGGTTCCCTTGACCTCTTTCCAGGGTGAATAATTGTGAGATACTGGGACTGAACGCTGTGCCTTCTGTGAGCGAAGCCCTTGAGCCTAGGACAAAACTGTCCTGGTTTAAGGCCTGATGGTGCTGCTGAATGCCACCAGCACGTTTTCCTGCATGTCACTCAGTCTACCTACCGCTGATGCCTCCAGTGGCAAAGATTTTCCAACGCAAATCTAGTTGTCTATCCACCCAGGCCCCTTACCTGCTGAAAGAGCAGGAGAGTGGATCCTGACCGGACACACTGCCAGCCTCCTCCCCAAACCCCGGGGTGAGGTGT